CCTAATTAATCTATCCGATGAAATACCAAACTACGAGATACTTGGAAAATTAGAACTTTTAATTTAAAAATAAAACTCAACTTGGTAGGTTATATTGAGGTATCTACAGGTCTATTTTATCGAATCGCGTATCACCAATCGACACCAAATTTTGCGATTGTGCAAGGCTACCACTGTAAAGGAAACAACAGTATTGACCTGGTTCATACAGACAGATTTCTACGAGTGATACCAAAAATTTAGAAATTATTTATTTCTGTAAAATATTTTAAGTTAGTACTACCCTTTCCCCTCGTCGTCAAAATTTGCTGCCAAATGAAGAAGTGTGCCCTTTGGAAAATCGAATCCACTTTATTATGATCTTATCTTACATTATTAATCAATAAAGCAAAATTATCTGGAATTGAAACAAAAATAATTCGCAAACGTACATTAGCGCTAAACAACCCTCTTATCTTACCCCCACTCTGTCCGAAATACCGAAATCCCGAGACTAGCAAACTTAAACCGCGTCCCTTAAATCAAACCCCGTGCCAAGCAAGTCCACAACGTGTCCGTACACTTTCGGATTAAAGTCCACTGGTAGAATCAACAGTGTGGAATGCAATCGTTTACGCATGCCGTCCGACGATCTATTTACCCGAGGTCTGCTGGAATCAGCCGCGCGACATAATCTCCGACTCCGTTACGAGTTATCGAGTACCCATCTCCCCCCACTCCGTAACGGAACTTCGATCGCATCGGCTTAACTATTTAGAATCTAGCGTAGTAAAGGGATTTGCTTTGACGAACCGGTGGAACACCGGCAACGACTCCGAATCCACAAGGCACCCTGTTCCTGGCGTGCATTGTGCTTGCCATGCATGCATGCACGATGTGTTTGCGCTCGCCAGTCGCCACGATTATTGTCCGGCATGTTTGGCCTGTGTACGAACCGTTGCAAAACTCGGAACCACTCTCGAACGTACTCGGCAAGTTCCGTATCATATCGTGGCCAGAGAGCGGTAGTGGGGGAAGGCCGAAGCGCTGGCTACCTAACCTTGGAAGTGGCTGACGCGAAGTGGGGCAAGTTTCGAACGATAGCGACGTGCGTCGGACAGGGAACTACCGGAAAAAAAGTCCCGCATACGTAAGTCTGGCAAGATTTATGGTGCACCCGGCACGACTAACCACGAAAAAGATAAGACTAGAACAGGACCATGAGCTCCGCGGATGAAAGCTTCGCAGACACGCGGATTACCCGGCTTATTTGCTCGGGATGTTTGCAACGAAAAGTGGGTTGGTCGACGATCGACAGGGGAGGTTAGGTTATGTGGGGTGCTCTGTGGAAACGAGAGTGGTTAAAAACGCGGGAAATGTTGGTTCGGTTAAACGGTCGAAGATTGTTGCGATTTAGTAAAATAGTAGAGCGGATGGCAAGTGATCGTATTATATTAACAATTTGGCTATGAAGTACACGCTGTTATGTCATGACTGAGGCATTGAATTACTTAAGAGGTTATGTAAAGTAGATATGGTATACGGAGCCGTGGGTAAAAGTGATATTTAAGGTTAGGAAACTAAAAAAAAAAAAAGATGAAAATTTAAAAAATTGCTCAGAAAATAGAAATTATGAAAAAATGACCGAAAAGTATATTAACTAAAACTATCGTAGAAGCTTTGTGATTAAAAATTCAATTCAAAGAAAATATTCTAAGAAAAACATCCGGCAAATAACTCAGCAACTATAGTTCTGCGGAAAGGTATCTTTGATAAATTGCTCGTAACATTCCATAGAGAAGAGAGATAAATTTTTCGAGAGAAAAATGTGGACGAATTTCTTGAGTCACCGGTCTGCCAGTCATTCAGTCGCGTTAGAGAAAAGTTAGTCGGTGCCATATCTAGGAAAGTAGATAGCAGGAGTCTGATGAAAAAGAAACGGAAAGGATAGAAAAGTTTTCTCAGACGCTTATATATCTCCGGACGAGATAACGAGAATGTCGTGGTGACTCTTGATTTCGCGTTGGCCAGCTACACTGGAAATATAACGCTCCTATCCTGTCCACAACGCCTTCAGATACGCTGGCAGAACGATCGTTTAACCAACGCCGACCCGCAGCCTTTTCTAACTCCGATACAGAAAGTAAAGCTTCCCCGCCATAAATCAGTGAATGTCTTGAGCGTACTCCCCACTCCCACGGACCTGATGTATAGCATCTAGGTATAAAACTGTTAACAGTTCTGATTCGATGATTCTCGAGGAAAAAATATCCAGTTATATTTGGTAATTAAAAGAGAAAACATTTAAAGAGAAGAAAATTTAATTCTACGTTTGTCTAAATATTTGAAGCCATGAGTTTCGGTGCGAAGCCCTCTAATCGCAAGATTATGAATTGCCGCAGAAACAAACACTAACGAGGATTATCGGATCCGGGAATTTAATTGATTCAAAACACGCTATGGCGTAACGCGCATACGGATCTATTGGCCGCGCATAATCTGCCGAAACCCATCCATTCCAATTCGCATTCCAACATGTTGCCATTCAATTTCGAGTCCGCCGCTTACAGGAAGTCTAATTTGAAAATCAACCGTGTCTTAGGCTAACACGCGTACTTCCGACGGTTACTGCCGCAACGACAATGCAACGCGGACTATAAGCCAGGATTACGGGTCTGGACTGGTTCTGCGACACAATATGAATCATGTTCAGTTAGTTAAAGTTCGTCGTTCGAGTCGCCAACGTAACGCAAACCCACGAGGTAAGTGAAATTAATATTCCCAGGCAAGCGTGTGACGAAACTGCGAGCAACTTGTACACGATTGCAATCAAATAGAATTTGTACGTGTACGAGAACATTTAATAAGCAACAACGCTACACAAAGCGAATGCAAGCAGAAGGAAAACGCGTGTAGTGCCACGAGGGCGAGCGAATCCCGAACTTTTAATCGAGACGTAGACTGTCGCGACAGCTTGCGTGGGCTTCGCGAAATATTTGATTGATTCCTACATCTTAGGATAATGTATCTATAGCACAGATAAGCTATAGAATCAACTGTGTTACCATATAATCAGCTTCGACGCTCTGTCGGTAACAGTGCTGATGACATGGATATGGTAAGGGGTTCTAGAACCCTCCAGAAAGCCGTAAATATATACGCAATACTAAATCATTATGATTATGAAAAAATATAACTAAAGTATTCCATTTTTGAATACGAGAAATCCTAAATATTCAAAATTAGAAATTTCATATCCACATCAAATGATAAAATAATTTTACAAAAAATGTACGAAATTGAAAAAATTAGATAAAGGACTTACCATGACGATACGATGATCCCGAAAATGAAAAATGTCTTGCAGTTGATCTTTTGTTCGTTGAGATTCCATTCCTTTTTGGAGATACGAAGGATTTCGAAAAATCGATGCGCGAACTGTATGTTACAGCAAGATATTTCAGGTAACAAAAGCAATTCAGACTATTCCCCGTGGCAAATGAGGCGCTTCCTGATTAACACACATTGGCTCAATTACACGGGTTAGCCGAGGGAACACGAAATTGCCTGCTATTAACGGAGGCGCGAGGTTGGATAGAGACGCGAGATATATCGAGCGGATTACACGACGATACATTGAAAACCGTAAAATGCAATCAGATGCACGCGGAAAAAATTTCTCGAATTAACACCTTTTGTTTCCGCGTTACGTAACAGTATATCTATGTATATGGGAACGCGACGTATTTGCCATACGGTAACCGAACGTTTCATTTCCCGCATATAAAACTATTTATTTACTCACAAATTTACACACAATTTTACGTCAAAACGATAGCAGCTTAAACATTAAACTGAAAGTTCTATAATACTTCACTGGAATATCACTATTTTATAATCGTATGAAAAATTTGACAAAGGACGCGACGCACTACGTTTTATATTACATATATCACGGCTACTGGAAATTCTTGCTAATTTTCAAACATGGATACTGTATCGTGATTGGTCGAGAAGTGTAGATTGCATATTGAAATATTGAATTTTAGAAATACAATATATAAAATAAATAGAAATGTCAAAAAATTGTAATTAATTTATTACTTGAATTTGTTTGATAAAATTAACAAATAATTAATAATCTATTGTAAAAACGTGACTATATTTATATTGCAAAATAATGTCATTTGGCGCTAATTATGAATACAGAAACGTGCAATATATGCAAAAATATCAAATTTCTTTTTTCTCGTATGTAGATTGTAAATTTAATATTGAAGCATTTCGTGTTAGCAATGTAAATTACAATCAAAATATTACGCAGTATGAAAAATGTAATAAGTAAAACATATTTCATATTAGTGAAAACGTAATAAACTTTCAACTGTAATATTAGTTTCCCGCGCGAAAAAAAATGTTCATGTACTTTCCGACGCCAACGATAAATATTTTATAATTATAATTAATTGTGTCGTTTAATTTTTATCTCATAATACTGTATTCAAACTTATTTGTTACTATGTAAATCTAATGTGATATCAAGAACCGAAAAAAAAGATGTCAAAAGACAGTAAACTCGAGGCGTGCTTTCATTACGATTTAGTGATGGTAATTCACTAGCTATTCCGAGTGTTAAAATTTTCAACGACTCGAAAGTTTCCAACATTTTTATTCGTTATACTGTTTGCAAAAGCTTTTGAATAAATCAATGAAAATCTACAATTTACACGCGCTCGTTCATGTACGTTTGTGAAAATTTATATGTTAAAACACGAGGTGTTATCACAAGTTTTCAAAACTCAACAAACGAATAAATTTTTCGAGCTAATTCTTCCAACAACGACAAATATTACTCGACTTCAACCGAAGGTAAGTGTCAATTGTATTTATATATATTACAGCATGGTAAATTTTTGTATAGACTTCGTGAACATAATAAATCATTTTATCGTTCGAATTCTTTGCATTGTATATTTTATATTCATATATATCAGTTTAAAGCGAGACGGAAATTTTATCGTTTATTTAATATCGCATAATAATGCGACTCCACGCAAAGTCCAAAATTCCGGTGGTCTATTCGTTTGTAACCAAAGCGGTGTTATTAATAACACGTACGTTCTTTGTGGTTTTTTGTACACTGGGCACTGTGAATATCATGATAATTTTAATAAATTAAAAATTTGTGATGCAGTTATACCTACCTGATATAATTTTGGATCTTTATCAGGAATATTATACAAAGCAAAAATATGAATCACAGGCATTAACACATATAAAACTTTATTTGCTGATTCACACAACCTATTATTTCTCTTATCCCATCCAGCTCCTTCAAGAAATAGTCCATATACATAAACTCCCTCCTAATCATACAAGAAAAAGTTAGTTTTTTTCAGGTACACAAATAGATAAATATAATTAACATACTTGGGGTGCAGTTTTAATTTCTTCTGCTGTATAACGTAAAACCTCATTATGCAAAGTTACATTATCCAAAGCCCAACCTTTATGAGCTCTTGTTACTTCTTGCCTCATTGCAGTTAAAAATCCTACATATGTAAAATTCATTTGTTTTATAAGGAATTTGGATAGTTTACATATAAATTGTCACATGCCTTGAGGATTAAAAAATCCAGTCATCCAGAATTTTATTGGTCTACCAGTCAATAGCCAATTAGAAAATTGTTTATTTCTATCTAATAGTTCAGTAAACCAAAAGCCAAGAGAAAAAGATTCCCATGATTTTGCTCTCCATGACTTTGGTACTCTTGTATCATATATATTATCAAGAGCATCCCTCAATTCCTAGATATATTTATTTAATGAATGTATACCATTTAGCATGGAATTAATAAAAAAATGTTACCTCACTCATTATAATAACACCTTCTATGGCTAGTAAAAGATCTTTCAGTATAGTATCCACTACTTTAATAACTACTTGTATTCTGTCAATTTCTTGTTTCAAGAAAATGGTCATTGGTGCAGTGGCATCCAATAGTTTTAGTCTATAAAATAGCATTTCGCACTCAATTAAGAAAACTATTACTCAAATACATTATTTTACATACTTTTCTTTTACTTCAAATGGATCATAACTTAGTGGTAATTTTTTTAACATTTCTTTTGCTTGTCTAGCTACTATTACTTCTCTAGATTCAGCACCTACTGCACCTGCTTCTTTTGGTTGTACAGACATTATAGTATCTAAAACAGCTTGTGTAGTGTTACCTTGATATCTAAAATTATAAATTCATATTAATAAATTTCTTTACAGTTGACACACTGTCAGAAAATGTTCTTACGTAATATTTGCATTAGCATGCAAACCATAAACTTGAGGTGGATCTATAGGATTCATTTCATCAATTACTTTTAGATACTCTGTAACTTGTTTATAAACTAGAACTGGATATCCTTTGTAAAATACAAAATCCTCTGAAAAAAGTGCATCTGAAAACCATAGTTTGGCAAATGTATTCAACAATCTTTTGTCATAATCATCTGTAACACGTCCTCCATACTGCACCTCTCCAATCATATACCTAAAATATATTGTCTTATTATTAAATCTATCTAATCGATTAGAAGACACTATTTTTATGTATTACCTTATAGTAAGCCAACTTATTCCCTGTTTTATATCAAAATCATTCAAGTGATTATTAATAAATATACAGGATGCCAGCCAATCTGACATATTAAATTCATAGGGTATATTCCAACCAAGTGGTCCAAATTTTCTTCTTTCTTGCACAATGGTATGCAAAAATGATACTGCATATATAATTGGTATATACTGTGGGGCATCACATTGATCTAACATTTCTTGGTGCATTCCACTGTATGTAGAAAGCAAACCTGCTCTTATTCCTAAAAGAAACAAAAACTATAGAAACAATAAATCTTGAAAACTATTTTTAGTTTACCTTGTGGAGGTTCATAAGTATATTTTATAGACATTTGTAAAAGGGATATTGGAAAATCTTTATGTGGTTCTGTAGTAATCCAAATACGAAAATGAGGATGTGGTTCCTCCATTTCCAAAATAAAATTAACTAACTCTGCCATATAATCCAGACCTAAGTGACAATTTTGGCACAATGCCCAAAATCCCTATAAATTATTTATTCATTGTTCGCGCTAAATTTTCACGTAATTTCATTCACACTATAAAAACGAACTTCAGTTTTTGCACTTTGAAGCAATTTTCGTGCATGGACTTCTTGACCCTGCCCCATCGAGATACTTTTACACATAATCTCCATCTTTTTGGCAAGCTGCTCTATACTGGGAGTAGGATCAGATCCCATACTCAAGAAACAGATCATTGGTGTATTTGGCCTTGATTCGCTATGCATTACATCCATAAGAGTAATTACAGGTTCTGCATATTTCTCTCCTAGCGAACTTGATATGTATTTTCGCGATTGTGACAGTGTTCTATCTATACACCAGGCTCTAAAAATTCATCACATTCTCTACATACAATATCTGTTTAAACGATCTACTTAATAATAATTAAAATCCTCTTTAAAGGATAATCGGAACAACCTAATTAGCAATAAGCGACGAAAAGTATCCAAAGTGTTGTAACCATCTGGTATCACTTCTTCCTCTGGGGCAGCTTTATCAAACCATTGCTTCCAAAGTTTTTCAGAAGCTGGAACTTGAGATGCGATGTACTGAAACTGTCTTAATCCAGAGAGTGCGATCAAATTCAGCCAGGTGACATCGGTAATCCACTTGCAGGGTTTCGGTGCGACAGTGTTCAAGTCCAAAGCTGCACCACCTTTGATGAAATACTGAAACTCTTCGTGAGTAATAGCATCGCGTTGTAAATCGATTTTTAACGTCATCAATAAGATAAACATGTATTTGTGTATTTCGTAAAGACCCCTTGCTTTGTATCTGAATATTTCATACGTGAGATATTCGATAATATAGTTGATTCTTCTTTGATTAACTGGACTCTTCTCAGATCTAAATAAAACAGACGTTTTTGAATTATATGCTATACGTTAGTCATTATTTATGAATAAACGTATACGTTTCATCTGTACCTTTCCATAGAGATATCGAATCGTTCGAGAAATTGGACGAGCGACGTTTGATACATGGAATTGACCAAAGACATATCGCAAATTAAAAAGTACAAAACACTGCCACGTCTTGCGACTGGTCGAAACTCTTCGCGTGCAGAATCGATTCTTAATTCTGTATCCTTCGCGGTGCTTAATTTCTCGTTTATCTCAGCTGCCGTTTGTTTCGTGGTATTCAATACAGACATTAATTCCACGTCTTCTATCAAAGGTCCCTGAAAGTAAAAGGAACGAGACGGTTATGGAAATTTAAGGGTAAAATGAAGCGAGGTAAATACCTCTACGGTGGTTAATTTCTGTAAAAGATTAGCTTCCAGTTCCTTGATCTTTCTATTATTTGCAGTTACGTCTGCTATCAATTGTGTTTTCTCCGTTTCAAGTTCCTTCTTCTCGGTCAGGATGACTCTTCCCAGCAGTTGATCCTCTAATCCTATGAGTGAATTCAAAAATTAATTTGCATGTATTAAATCAATTTAAAATTATACTTAAAAGAAATTACCCTTTATGGTGACTGTAAAATCTATTATAGCAGTACGTGCAAATATTTCTGGAGTATATAATGGATTCGGTAACTTTGTAGTGATATAAAGTCTGAAGTCTTTATGGATATCCACTTCCTTATCACCTAATTTTACCTATTGAAGTAATCAGTCCACGTGTTGTCAGGTTTTCCTTCAAACAATTAAAATGCACACGTTTTACCTTCAGAGAAGTGCCTATCTTTATAAAATTCTTCTCTAACAAATTATCTAAGACAGGATCTAATTCCTCTCCTACATCCTCAATTAGCAATGGACGACCCAAAGAAACACAATCTTCCAAGTGATTTCTAAAGTATCTGTGTGTGAGCAACGTTGGCTAAAATCATATATAAAAATTAATACGGCTGGTACAATACAATAAATATTATAATACATACAAAATATAAAAATATTATAATTACAATAAATAAATGAATTATTTTAACATGATAAAAGGATTTTACCTGTAATTGAAATTCTTCTTCTTTATTCTTGATCCACGCTTTGCCTTGCAACTGTGGGTCAATTAAAAGAGGATATCTGGTTGCCTGTGTTACTATAATTCCATTCTGAATGGACAAGTCATCCGTTGGAAGACCTTGCAAACTCCACTCTCCAATCTTTACGAAACCAAAGTGATAATTTCACAAAGTTAGAATTAACAGACCCTTGGAAAACTCTCTACTCACGGTAGCTGTGTCAGTCAAACTAGCAGTAATATTTATCACGAGAGAAATAGGAATTTTCCGACTTTGAATAAAATCGAACCACTGCTTTTGTAACAAAGTCCTGAATTCTTGGTTGAAGGGGCCACAATATGACAAGAAACCCATCAGAATCAATATATCGCCAACAAGACGATCTGTTTCCGATTTAAACGATGCCAATTGCTCCGTCCATCTTATTCTTTCGCCAGAAAGGCCCTCGATCATGGCTGTGGCGGTGTCTGTTTTTGCTTGGCAAATCTCAGCGAGGTCGACTATTTTCTAACAACGGGAATTTTATCCGATTAAAATGAATTTTATAAAATATTAAAGTAATAATTTTGATATTAAAGTAGTAATTCTATATAATAAAAATATGAACTTTGAAACTGAGATAGAAGAATGGTCGAAAATAGGAACAGAAGAGATACGTGATATAAGAAGAAAGATTAAAAAGCGATCCATAGGGGTGTAAAAAGAAGAGGATCGAATTAATGGCTGAACGTGAACTATTTTTCTCAACGTATATCTCATAAATTACTTGACGTTCTTCCATTACAGCATCGAACTCTCTCTGCACCACTTTCAAGTCTTCGTCTTTCTCCCTTAAAACACTTTCAGCCTCCATTAGGTTTCGATTCGCTTTTTCGTACTTGCTCTCTTGCACGGCCAAATTTGCCTATGAATTCGGGGTTCTTTATAGACATAAGAGATTCTTTATAAAGATACGAATTTTAATAACTGGAATAAAAGGTACTTTCAAAGGAAGAACGTCTTTATTTATCCCGTAGAAGGTAACCATCGAGATGGTCCATTGAATGAGACCAGCTACATTTCCGCAAGCTTGCTTCGCAGCTTCGTAGGTATATAAATGATAATTCAAGTATGGTTGCATCAAGTCAACAGTTTCAGCGTTGATGTTGTCCTTTGGGAAATTTTGCAAGTTATACAGAAATCTGGTGTCAGCCATCACCTATAATCGATGGAAAAATAAGCACTCTTTGTATATTAAATATTTTCTTGAATTTATGGAAACGATAAAATTACCTTTAAAGCTTCAGACCACGAAGGAGTTAAAAATTGCCTTTCGTAATCCGGCTTTACCGGTTCCAGTTTTCTTCCAAACAGTATTATCACGCAGTCCATGATAAGCGTAATTAAATATGGCGGTTTTCCTAATTTTCTCACTGTCGCGATATCAGCAGCTTTTATGGTCTAAAATATTCAATAAAATTAGACTAAGTGCAATATAAAATTGTGAAAATGAAACAAACTTGCAATGCAGCCTCAGCTGCCAACAAAGCAGGTTCTGCAGCCTTCAATTTCTGTTCTGCAACCACTTTTTCCTTCGCGATCACTTTCAAGATGGCTTCCGCTTCGTCTTTAGACACTTGCACTTGTGCCTTCACAGCCTCTGCTTCTCTCTTCTTCTCGTTCACCGTGACTAGGATCTGCGAATGAACGAGGAAATGATCCGTATGCAGTAGTTCAGAGAAATGTAAACTTTTAATCATCAATGCAGAAATAATACGAACAGCTTCCACTTGCACGTTCTTCTCCGCGATTTCTTGCTGATTAATCTCTAGAACTTTGCGCAGTTCGTCAACCTGTGCCGCGGCATCGACTAGCTTGCTCAAGCCATTGCTCATACGATACGAGAGGATATTAATATTATCCAGTCTTTGCTTATAAAGTATCTTGTATCCGCTCAGGAAAGTTAAGAATGATTTTGGAGTGACGTACACCTGTCTTCGGAATCTGCTCGAGAAACCGCGTAATGCGTATGAAAATAAGTTACAAGCAATCCATATAACGCTACCTGTCGAAGTATTTAGTGCAAACATCGTTCACGTTATTGTGTATGTCTCCCATCACTTCTATCAGCTGTTGCTTTATCTCTGGACTGCAGATTATTTTATATTTCTTCAGGAAATGATCACTGACTGCGTATAAGGCGTCTTTCGGCCATCTCCAGAACCAATTTATCGTACAGCCGGATATAAGACCAGGGAACTTCAGTGCTCTAGACCTGAACTTCTCACCGACCTGTGATTCACAAACGTCTGCAATTCTTGTACGAGTGTAACGTACCTAGACTTTACTCCGAATAATTAAATTATAATTTATGCAAATTTGAAGCAAATGATGGTGCATACTGGTGAAAAGCACAGGACTACGTGTAACTGGTCTCTCGCACGTGACAAGAAATAATCGTAAAGATTATCAGGAGTCGGTGGTCGCCTTGGATCTTCGCTCTTCATCAATGGCGTCACTAGCGACAAGATATCGTCGAGTTCGTCAGGTGGGAACAGATTTGCAACCTCTCCAACGCTCAAGATATTATTTATGTACTCCAGAAAAGCTTCTTCCTTGATCTCGTTATCCGTGAATATAAACGTCTGCCCCTTGCTTCCTGTTCCAGCTGCGTGATACACTTTCCTCAGATCCTCTATTAGGCTTCCGACGGTGTAACTCCTAGGAACAGACAGTACAATAAAACTGTTGGCTTCGTAATCGTCGTCTGCTTAAGCACTTTGGCAGATGGTTCATGAAGATACCTGGTTTTGTAATTATTCAGGTATTCTGTCGTTAATTACCTAGTTAATGTTATTTGATAAAAGTTGAAACCCGCAATAAAAGAGGCCAAACGAGTTAGGCTTTGTTTGCCTGATCCTCCAACCCCGACTAGCATGGCGTTGCTTCGAGGAACACCTAAGATTCTCGATATTCGAATCAATGCGTCGTAACTGTAAAAAGATACGTCATTGCGATCTAATTAATGAAGTTACACTAATGTATTAATTAGAGCGAAGCTGTACCTTGGAATTTCTTCGTAAATCTTTGGTGCCTCGAAGACGAAGTCTTCCGGTTCGTCTCCCGTGGGTTCCGGTGGTTCTCGTAGAAAATTCACGAAATACGTTTCTACGGGTATATAGAAGCTAAAGTCGGAACCCAGCATCTTCTCAGCTGTTCGTCTCAGTGTACTCTTGAACCACTGGGTATCCTCGGCACTTGTAAATCTAGCGAGGATAAAGAAAGGTACGATTATTTTGATTTAAAAAATTTTTTAAATATCAATGGCGATGTAATAACCGACCGATCCGCGATTACACGAGTACATTCGTGTTCCCAGAGCTTCAGCAGCCGGCTTCTAGTATCGCATTCGGCTCTCTCGATTCTAAGAATACCTTCCCAAATTCGAGACAAGTCTCTTAGGTTGAAAACGTAATGGAACTTAGCCGGCGTTGGTAGCATTTTTATCTTGGTCTGCTGCCATAAGACTCTCGTCAAAGGTATCAATTTTGGCAGGAAACTTACGATGTTCTCATCGAACCTGGTGCTGCAGAAATATCCTTCTCCGATACTCCCTGAAAAAATGTTAAGCATAATTGCAAGGAAAAGAGGAAAAGAAAAGAAATGTTGCATTAATTGGCAATATCTATGGAATTAAAATATGGTATGATGTGATATATCGATTTTAGTAATTTTGGACATCTAATTAGAATGTGCTATAATATAATATATCGATTTTAGTAATTATACGTCCTCACTGAAGATCGTGTCCATAGATTTATTGGACGGTAATGTACAATTAAAAATATTGAATTGTCTCTTCAGTCTCGGTGGAATATCATTTCTACCCCCGCCTGGGTGAATCATGGCGGCGAGCAATTGGATGTCCTGTATGATACAGAAATCACCGGGCTTATCCAGGGAATAAAAGCCTTTATACTCCATCAGTTGGCGGACAATCTCATTTGTAATTTGGTCCCCCCATTCATTTATGGCTGGCATATTTATGTCGTCGATGAAAATGGTCATTCTCCTACCACCTGGGGGTCCATAAGTGTTACCAACCCTCTTCTCTACATAGCTTTCGAACACCCGCTGCGAATTAGCATTCCGTTACTTTATAACACGTTATCGTTACTAATTTCCGAACTTACGTTAATTCGTTTCATTACCTGAACCATATTCGGAGTGGATGCAGAAGAAAAACTGAAGGATTTGAACAACTGTTCTTCCGGATCATATTGGGACATGTAGCTTTTTAACATGACCGTTTTGGCAGTTCCCTGTTCTCCTATAATTTCAATCGCTTAATAAAATTTCTTAATAATTTTAAATTATCAATGAATGAAGATTGTACCTATTAGAAGTACTGCTTTCCTTTGTTTAGCGATGACATTGATCAGGAACAAGGTTCTTGTATTATCTATGTTGGGAACAAGGATAGTGTAATATTTTAAGACTTCATCAGGTGGATAGATGAACTCTGGAACCTTCTCAGACCAATGCATCCAGTGGCCATCGTCCGATACCAAATATTCAAATATGGTTTCATCTTCCTACATTGGCCATTATTTCATGATATAATTATCCTCGCTTCAATTTCAGATAATGTTATTTATATGCATTATAGAAGCATTACCATGCATTTTGGCCAATTACACTTCGATTCGTGATGAAGTAGGAACTCCTGCAGTGCGTTTCGTTCCTCTAATTCCAATACTGCTCCCAGACTCCACATGAGCGAGAAAAGGAATATCTTTTCGATATGATAATCCGGAAGCACTTCTATACACCACAAATGTCGATTAAAATTTATCTTTATTCGATAAAATGCAATTACACGTATAGGAAATACGTACTTGAATCTTTGTTTGTGGTAAGTAAACCTTCTAACAGATCGATACACTGCCTTATGTAGATAGCTTCCAAGAGGTTCATTTTAACCGGAAGCCTAGTTTGGACGAAGGTATGAGCGTCGTCGTAAATCTTATTAAACAAATTATTCAACACTTCTGCCTGCGCTGGTGGTTGTCTCTTAAACCACCCCTAAATATTATCAATCAAACATTCAGATTTATTAGAGAATACAGTACAGAGAATAATAAAAGATATTTATTTTTTAAGATATCGACATCACCTGCAGAATGGGACTCCATTTCAATACAGAAGCACTAATGAACACCATACCCATACGAGATATCGTGGCTGGCGATGCATTATCAACGTTATCTGGCTCGAAGACCAATTTAGTATTCGATGCCATAATTATACGATCACCGTTCGCTAGAGTCAGCGTCTTATTGTCGTCTAGCACCGAATTCAAGTTCTCGATCCATACAGCATCCACAGGACCATCCAGAACCATCCATAGATTATCCGTTTTCTTCGTATGAGTAGATCTTCTCCATATGGTAGAGAAAATCCCGTCTGTCCAGTCATTCGTCGCTACATCCAATTTTCCAAACATCTGGGACGCAGTTATGGCCTAAGACAATTGCCAATTGTGAACATACAGTAACCGATCAGCAATTAAAATTCAGAGAGCTGGAAATAGAGTTTAAGAATAGATGCTAACTTTGGGATTCATTCGGACTTCTTTGTGAGGCATTCCCATCTCAGTCAGAGCCTTCATGAGTGCCCACATGCACTGGGTTTTCCCAGAACCCGTTGGCCCAAGCACCATCAAACCGTGACGAACCAAAGAAGTCTCGTATAGCTAGAAGTACAAAGGATGTCATAGTTTTCGTTTACTCTTAAAGCATAATAGCGCCGAATAGAGTCAATACCTGAACTGTCTTCAAATTCCACTCTGGATGATTCATTATACCAAGCGCTACAGTCGCGTTAGCGATTGCTTTCTGCAGGTCTTTGTATGTTTGAGTTTTGAGCTTGATTCCTGGGAACATGTCTTCGATGAGGGACATGAACAATGGTTCGTCTTCGTCCACCAATTTTGACAGATTCATATCTCTGTAACATAGCAGTGTGAAGATAAAGAGAATTTGGATAACAGAGAGGTTCTCTAGAATTTTTAGTTTATATATTTCCTCGCACCTTAAGACTCTCATTAGGGTAGTTTCTTCAGAGTCAGTGGGATTCGCTCGTTTCTGTGCACCAAGTGTTCGCAAACAAGATAATATATTCCTCAAACCGAAATCGTAATGCACTTGCTTGCTCAGTTGCTCTTCGCACAATTTGTACAACGTGAAAAATTTTCGCGATAGCAGGACGTTTTCCTTGAAACCACAGGCTGCCAGTTTTACACGCATAATTATCTAAGCAGATGCATCATTATCGATACGACAAATTTATATTTGATAAATGATAAGTAATTTATTTCCATGCGACGATACTTGTCTATCAGGAACCATCATAGCGACGCTTCTGAATTGTATCTTTAAATTTTCTGGCAATTCTTGGCGCCCAGCATAGCCAGGATTCATAGTGATGAAGATTCCAAACTCGAAGTTCAATTTATATACCTCACCGTCGCTATAGAATTCGTATTTTGTCTTAATTACTCAATGCTTAAACGCTTTTTCAATCCATAACTTTACATAATTAAATCATAATGCTGGCTGTTAAGAAACTATACATACTTAAGTTTAAAACTTTGATAAATAGTCCTAAAAATTACTATAAAATAGAATATAGAATATTTTAAAATAATAATAAAAATAATTATTTTTAAAATAGAATGAAATAGAATAAAATAGAACTAATTTGAGGCATTTTTAAATTTCTAATGCATCAGCAAGAAAAATAAACTCTCGAATGGCTAAACTCTAATTATTCTTCGTGCATACCTAAAAAGGAAAGTTGTTTTTCTCTCCTTTCTCGCTGTAAGTACAATTGCTATTTGCTGAGCAGCTACCGACAGGACCGGCAAATCGATGCGATTAAACTCGTCGAAGCAGCCCCAGGCACCGGACATGGCTAATCCTTTAAATATTCTGCCCAGACCGCGGAAATCCATTTGGTCGGAGCAATTAAATACCACCACGTATTTTCCAAGGGCTTTCCCCATATCCTTTGTGGTTTCCGTTTTGCCAGTACCGGCTGGTCCCGCGGGTGCACCCCCAAAGTTCATACCTAGAAGTAGCATTTTAAAATTGCGCCACGATAATTGGAAATTAATGTACAGGTCCGATGTGGCGATGAAAGATTCATTGATTCATCGATGATCTAACCCACAGCTTGAGCCAACGTTATATAGCATCTGTCGGTAAGAGGAGTAATAGCGAGTCGATCTGTGCAGCCTAGAAACTCGTTCTGATAGACGAAATCTATGTCTGTGATTTTTATGGGAATATCTTCCGTCTCGCTATCGTAATAAAATCTACTCTGTTTCAGCCATTCGAAGTCGTTCACATTACGTATCCTGAGGTGACATAATTCGTCGAATATGTCTCTGCAATATTCATAAAATTCGCTATCACTTTAGCCGCCATATGCGTTTTTTACTGGACAAATAAATTTGTATTCATTGACTCATTCGTTCAGAGTGATTCGGTAAAAAATGATATGCATTTAATTTTTGAAATTAATTTCTAATTTCCATGGGATACGTTGAAGAGATTTGCATTTGTATTATACCTCTGATGCACGTGAATCGTGATCAAAGCCTCGTATTTTGCTCTCGCGTATTTCGACAAGTCTTTAACAGTCATTTCGATGAGGTTGTTCAATAAATCAAGGAACCATAGGTTTGTTCGCTTCATAATACCTCTGTCCCGTTTTGCTGTATTCAAGGCTACCTCAGAATCGCGAGTCCATAGAACTTGTAAGGCTAACAGCCCCACCTATCAAGGAGCAATATAATTTTTAGTCGTGAAGAAAGCTTGACTTGTCTTACATATAAAATCGACTGTCAGCAATTAAAAAAGGTCTACTATTAAAATGTCTACTATTATATTAAAAATAGGTCTACTATTTATTATCAAATTTACTTGTAGAATCGAATTGTCTATCAACTGTATGATGTCAAAATCTTCATTGGCTAGAGTTTGCAACCCCTGCGAGATCACACTGCCTACTGAGAATTGGTGAACCGATAAGAAAGTATTCAACCAATTTTCTACACCCCCTGTGCATATAACATCCTTCTCCAGTACCACTTTCTCATTTTCTCGTGAGTACATGGCTACAATCCTCTCATACTCTTTTTCATGGAAGTCTAACTATAAATCGGAAATTCTAAGTTGTAGATAAATCTGAAACGGGAAAGGATTTTTCTGAAAATTACTTTCGCCACATTGTCAAAGAAGCCATCGAGATAGTTCTGTATGGTGTGACAGTCAGCTGCTTGACCAAGAATCTCCAGCAAGGTAGGATCTGATATGAAACAGAACCTTGGAAATATGCTTCGTTTTGTTTCCAGATACCTGTGCAAGTATTTTATCCTATTTTAGCCAAATTTGTCCATATTAATTATAGAGTTGAGTATGCATGATTCGATTGCGATACCCGCTAAGGGACTTCTGGCAAGATTCCAGCTGCTCCAACAAATGTGGCAGAAATTGGCCCATTGTTTCATCTCCTGTGCATGTTTCCACTGCGTTCACCCTTTCTCGTGCTCGATACATGATCTTCACCCAAGCTTTATCGATATTCTATAATATATAAAATGAAATTGCTGACATTGCTTCTTAAAATTTAATCGTTTCATTACATTAAAACGTTTTGCTTCTGCTGGAAGTTGTTTGGATATGTCTCCACCAATGAATACAGCTTCTAAATAGGCCCATAAGTTCTGAACAGTTAGCCACTTGGCTAAGATTTCAGAGGTGTTGCTGAGTTTACTTTGCCATAGTTGTATCTCCTTTTTGAAAGGTGCATTGTACCTAAATTAAAAAATGACTATTCTGAATTAGGAAAGGATTGAGAAAGTTGAATATAGTTCTTCATACCGATTTGCCATCAATGAACTGATCACCATCAAGCTATCTTCGAGTTGAGATATTATCTCGATTGTTTCTGCTCCTTTTAAGAGCAATTCTCCTCGTTGCTTGAAGGTGGAGAATTGTAAGTCCACTGTAGCCCATTCTGCTATAATTTGTTTCAGTTTACTCTCTATCTCTTGCTCCTTCACTGCGCTGATGCATATATCCTGTGAGAAAATAGCAATAGTAATTATTGTTATTGTTATATAAATAATTTTTTTACATATAATGTACAATAACGTGTAAAACATTTACAAATAATAATTAAGATAATTAACGGAGGATATCGCGTGTTTAAGCTAAAATGGTACCTCGACTTCGTCTTTGTACTTCAACAAAGGTGCTTGCATCACGTTCGCCAAAGTAAAAGCCTCTGACTCGACGTCAAACGGGTATTTACACAACGTGGACATTCTTGCCCAGTGTCTTTCTTGCATAGCTTTGTTAGCCATCAACTCTAACAATGGACAAGTCTCGTTAAAGTCGTCGATCTTCTTTTTCAGATCGATATAAGCTGGCCAGTCTCTCATAGCCTTTGGTAATCGTCGACATCTGGAATAAAATTGTAAAATTAAATCAGTGCGAAAGTGTACTGCAAATGAGGAGAAAAATAATACGACGTGAATTCACCTGTTCTGAAAATCAGCCAATTCGGACACTATGGATTCGATGTCGATTTCAGACCAGGGTATCTCATAATAGCTGTCGATCGTTCGTATCACCTGCAGATACAACGAATATAACTTCTGCAGCAAATTAATTTCCCTTTTTCTTTGATGAAGAGCCGTGTACTCTGTTATTTCAATGCCGAATAAGCTTTCACCGCTACTGTAAGTCTTGTACTTTTCCCATAACTCTTCCAGGAGGGCTTGGAACAGTATGAGTCTAGGAAAATTAAATAATAATAAGAGACAAATTATACAACGGAGATGATGTTCATTTTTATATATATTTAGTAGAAAATTGGTATTATAGAATAGTTGAAGTTGCATCGCATTAATAAGAAAGATTATATTTCAAAAAAAAAAATAAATAAATGGAAAATATGGAAGAAAGGGAAAAAAATGGCAACTCGAAATGATAGTAATATTATTTATGGATAATACCGATCACTAGCTTCTTTGGCTGGAATTCCCTCAACCATTGGGCCATTTATCTCAAATTCGTGATCAAAATTAATTACGTCTTGCTTAAATATTGCAACTCCATCTGTCAATTCCTTTTTCAATGGCTCTTGCATCTCGCATATCTTCGCTTGTACTTGTTTCGCCTTAGGAAAAGGGGAATAAATTATTTCAGATATTTGACACGCGATTATACAGATGATAATTTCTCATAAATATTACCGTGTTCAACATGTTTGTAAAATTGTAACGCAAACTGTCTACAATGTCCTGTTCTTCCTTCGATATAGAGATGTTAAATTTCCCCATTAAAGTGTACGTTTCTTCTATTAAGATCAACTCTATGTCCAGGGATATAAAATCGTCTCGTATCTCGCCTAAGCACTTCATCGCGATCCTCACGTCTTCTAAATCCTTTATTTCTCTAGCTAATACCTTATTCTTATCGTTTATGTACTCGGTAATCCTTTTTAATTTCTCTTTGTAAGTCGTGGATAATTTCTGACCCAATAACGTCTTCCAAGCTCTTGCTTCGACCAAGAATGCTAATTTCAGTTTCTCTAAGAATATGTTAGATGAGTTCAGTTATGGTATAATTCACTCCTCATGAAATAAGGATACTGGAGGATAAAGCAAATTAGATCTTCACCCATGCTAATTTCTATAGGTCCCACTACATGTTTATCAGGCAGATTTTGTATTTCAGCGACCAAATCGTCAAACTCCATGAACTTCTCTTTGATTTCTTGGGTGATGGGTTCAGAGTCGACGAAATTTTCGATTATTTTGTCTATTCCCTCGGCCCATATGTAGGAATATCGCAAGTAATTCTAATCGGACAGCAATGATACTAAAATTGGCATGGGATTAACGAATTCCGTGATATCGTATTATTAAATAAAGTCGTAAAAATTTATGGACTGCACACAGTGTTTTTCGAGCGTCACTGTAAATTTTGATCGCGTTATTTCATTGTTCGTCCAATTCAAACAACGCTGTTCGAAGTTTGTTTGCGTGTTTACAAATAAATGGAAATTAAATGGAAAACAAATGGAAATGGTGTTACATTGGCAATTTCATCGATGTCTTCCTTTATGGCATAAATCGCACCCTGTAGACTCATTACACTGCGAACTATTTCCTTGTGATCAAGTATGATATGATAGTAGTTTTTCGCATGTGCCTTGTTATTTTCTGTATGGAAAAATTTATTCTATATTTCATGTTATATATTTACTAGCATTTATCTACTATGAACAACAGACCCTGGGTATTTTCAACCGATCCACTATTTCCTGCATTAGAATAACGTTGTCCCCATGCGGTAATTACTTTATGGTTCTCCACCACACTGATTATTAGTTTTCCAAAATAATGCTGCAACTCTTCTATCGGAGGGGATAACACGATATTCGGTATTTGCAAGACGAACGTTGTCAAAAGTATCGGTGTCCTCTTCTTCGACTCATCATCCTCTGTCAAATGACTGTAATTGCGTAAAAAATAACTAGTAATCTTTTACAAGATTAAAAATGCTATTTTGTTGGGGAATTATAGGTGAAATTTAATGAACCTCGTTACAGTCACTTCTTTCTTTAATAACTCGAGGGAGTTCTTGGTGCATTTCACCAAGGCTTCTATAAGTTTATTGTGAAAGTATGCAAATAGTTCCATGCACTCGTTATGCACTTTATTTATTTGAACTTTACGTGTTCTCTCGATAGGTGCAAAACCTATGATTAATAAAAATGTGACAAATAAAATGATTCATGAATCATTCGAGATATTAATCCTTGGCACTCGAAAACAATTCTCAGTCGCAACTTGATAAGTTTATCAAGACCGATGGTCAAACTTAAATTTGAAATAATCTAAAAATACACGAAATATCGAAATAATGATTCCTCGTAACGAGAAAAATCTTCGAGTGCAAAGAGTCGAAGACGATTAATCGGATATGAACACCTGGTTCGTATTTTCCCTTTGTTAGTTTCGTCTGTGAGATATGTTTCAGTATTTTATCCTTATCCAGCCAGTTGTACTTAACACTCTGCACAGACTCGTCGATGATGAAGTCCATAAACTTATTAATTATCGTCGTAACAGCTTTCTCTGCGGCTGATGATTTAATTTCTAGATCGGCAGCCACCGTCAGTCCAAACGCGATATTGTCGTCTAGTAATTGAATAGGAGGCTTTGCATAGTCATCGAGCTTCAATAAAATGGCCTCTGATATGGATACGAAAACTTCGTCGACTCTCGCTTCCTTCATGTCTTTTATCTCCTTGACAAAGATCTGCACGGACGTGATCGATTTTCTGATTTCATCACACATTTCTGTGATGTTCAGAGACGTCCACGTGATAACGGATAGGCAAGGTTGAAATGCAATCTCGAGATTAACGAGAACGATCTTTATCAGGTTTAAAAACAAAATTGGAATTGTCCGTCTGGAAAATAAAAAGGGGCCGAGAATAACATTAATTTGCCGATTTATTCAAGAAGACGTCGAAGCACGAAGGTACCTTAACGTATTGTTCTCTTCGACTAATTGCTTCACGGTTTGGTACGACGAGAAGATCCTGTCTTTACAAAACGTTATAATTTGTATGAAATCCGGCACTTCCAAATCGAACCTAGCCATGTGCTCTGATTCACGTATCACCTCGATGATGTACGAATCAAAGTTTAAGTGATACTTATTCGTATCTGGGTGTCTCACGATCAAAGGTGAAGCTAATGCCAGTCGAACCTATAGGAATACTTAGCAACTTGAATCGTCGTTTTATTTACCTTATCTCGCGTAATAAGTATACTTACGATCTCCGAGGAGTCGTACCATGCTCTGTGATATATCATTTCGTAGTGTATAAAGACACTGATCAAAGCATTGTACAGTTTAATGCACCGCTGCATATGATCGTGGACAATCACTCTTCTGCAGTTCTTATATATCTCCATTGGATTTTCGATACGTCTGAAAAGCTGTCTGATCCATAAAATGCGACCAGCGATAGGTGGAATATTTCTCGGTATCGGTGGATCCGATCTATCCTCGTTATATCGATCCCGCACATCCTCGATCTCTTTTTGAAACCACGTTATAAGCTCTAAGTATTTCCTGTCGATCCTCAGGTGTTTAAACTTCAGCTTTTGAAATCTATGGTATCGCATTTACATTATGTGATATTATCTGGTATTTCGTTACATTTGCATTTAAATTAAGAATGCTATTGCCATTATTCGAGTCGCTCATTCGCCAAATGAAGAATAAGTATTTGTATTTATCGTGAAAAATTGTATATTTGTAAAATTTACATAGCGAATTGTACATAGTTGACACTTTGGTCTATGAATGATTCGATTGCAAATATATTTGAGAAAATGTAAAATGGAAAATGGTACCTCGCGACTACTCTTAAAGCTTCTGTGATATTTGGTGTCTCTGATACGCATTTATAGAAGAAGTTTCTCAATTCTACTTCCGTATCTGCTGTATTTCTTTTATAATTATCGTAATCTGAATCGAAGTACGGTTTCCTGTGATCTAGTGGGTCGTAATCCTTGGACGAAACATCCTGGAAGAAACTTGAGAATTTGTCCGCGAACACGTCTATCCCCTGTATCGCGGAGCTATAAAGAATTTGATACGTTAAAGCTGTTTGCAAAACGTCCATGATCTGAAATATATTTAATTTATTTGTAATAATTGTGCAAAATGTTAATGTTGACTTTATAATACACGTTCATCGCTAACTTTTATTATCCTCGCTTTGAAGGTATTAAACTTCCCGAAAACGTACATCTCAGATACTTCGAATGGTCTTTCATCGGTAGATTCTCTTACTTGCTTGCACATTTCGTTGTAGTAATTGTAATACTGCTCGCACAATTTAATGCAATCCTACGGTAAAAAGAATTCCGTAATAAATCGATTTATTACGGTAATATTTAATTTTTATGCATCAATTCGTAATATTTAATGTAATAAATATTACTATATTTATCATCGTGCTTTATTGTCATGCAGAGAAAATAAATATTTGCCTTTATTTTAGATATCATGACAGATTTAGCTTCATTCCAGAGATTTATTTTGCCATCTTCGGTTAAGTATGCTTTGCATGCTAAAATCATTTGATTGGTCATCTGGAATCGATGATTAAATCATTGGGATTTTACGGGGCATAAATACGAAATAAAATGTATAACTTTCGTCGGATTTTTGCGTCAGTACTTTTACAAAAACTGCCGTGACCATTCGTCTGGTATTAAAAAATCGGGAAGTAGCGTATATCATTCGTATAACGTACATAAGCGGGGGCAAATATTCGCCCATTTTCGTTGGATCAAGCCTGTACAAAGGCTGAGTAAATTTTTCCAACGCGTATAGATATTTCACGTTATCTTGTGCAAGAATTTGTATCGTTTTAACATGATTTTCCAGTATCTTCCATTTCTGTATAGATGCGACGTGGAATTTTTATTAGCTCCAAAGTAGCTCTGAGATAGCTTAAAGAATGGTGCCTCGTGATCAAACGTACCTTCATGTGCTTGGATTTTATTTTTGTCAAAAATTCTATGTACTTCTGAGTAAATGGTGATTTAATATGTTCGATGATCGAGGAAAAACGAGCAAGCAGCCTTCTCCAATAACTGAGTTCCGCGTTTGGACCCATTGTCTCTGTTTCTCTGCGCAATTGTTGACTTTGGACGACAGCCTGAATTTTAGATATGCATGATTTTCTATTGAATAACCATTAAAGGCAATGCTCATAGACTTTACCCGTTCCATACTTTTCATCCATAATCTGACATTATTCTCTATAGCATGAATAGCTTCTGGATTGCTAATACTCTTTTTATTATTTTCCAGCGATTCTAAATACCTATTATAGACATTCCAATCGATATAAAATTTGATCGTGTTCTCTAAATCAATCTTAGTCACTAGAAGAAATATAAAGGTACATCTTCATTCTACGATTTTCAGTGTTACGCATATTTTACACGAATCATATCGTCTTACTGCTTAAAAATTCGCAAAAATCTCTGAAATCGCAGATGAAATTGTTTATCACTTTTTCACCCGTTTCAGATTTCGACAATTCTCCCCATGCTGTATTGGCGATTATTGCTGGCAAGTTTAGCCTCAGAATTAAGTCTGATAGGGCTGCGAGTGCACTCTGAGACAAAGGATCGACTTCTGCGTATGCATAATATGTTTCCTAGGTATAAAGATGAATTTAAGAACGGAGCGTTATGTATAAAATTATCTTGCATTGTATCGAACCATATGAAACACATACATCGAGAATATGTTTTGTCTCGAAATCGATATCCGATTTTAACCTGTAGACTATAACACATTTTCCAGAAAGTTGCTCTGTAAAGCCGTCGGTAATACAGCAACGTATTATTTCAGTTTCGCGCTCGTATTGCGCACTCCATCGTCCAGATTCTATTTTTGTTCATATTTTTTTGCAATGGTTATATACGGAATTTTTTAAAGACTCTACATAATAAAAGAACAATTTACGATACCAAACGGCGGTGGTTCCATAGGTTGATAGTGTATGAGAATTGCACGCTTCCCATCTTTGAGGAAGAAACTATCCAAAACATTGATGTATTCATCTTTATCGATAATTCCCTCTTCTAAAAGATCAGGATGTACGTTTAAAATGAAAGCTGCAACGTCCAAAACCTGTCTATGGGTTGCTTTAAGCAATGCTTGTCTCGCGTTTCGTTTTTCTTTAAATTTAGCCTGTGTGATATAAAATAGTCGGTTAATATTTATATTCCTCAGTAAAGAAGATAATTCTTATATTTTACATACAAGTTTTTCTTTTAAAGTCTCGGTCGGTAATCCTTCTAAACCGACTCTCCTTTTTAATAATTCAGCGATGCGACGATCAATCGCCGGCTTTGTATAATCTCGAGCTGCGAAATATGCAGTTATATGTGCCATTACTTTAAAACGTGATAGGAAATTGTATTACATTTGATACGAAGTGAACATCAAAAAATGCGTGAAAACTTGAATGATAAAAAAAAGAATCGATCTTTATAGGATGTGTCAAAAGTTATCCACGTCAGAATTGGGGAGAATTATAAATTTGAAATAGGTAATATAACGATTCGGGTAATACTAAGACACAGTAATGTTCGTTTTATTTACTTGTATTGAGTTAAGTTTTGGAAACTTCTTTAGATGTACATATATAAGGTCAAAGTAAATTCAATGTAAAATTTCATTCGAAGGTGTACATCCAAAACGTGCGCATGCGCGTGTAGTTACTGTGCACATGCAGCTGCAGTGCACGTCAAATTGGAAAGGTTAAATGAAACAGCATAAATAAAATTATATCTACAAAATATAAAATTACGATTAAGAACTGTCAATTGTAAATCATTCAAAGTGACATTGATCTTATTTTAACTTAACATTTTATTACAAAGTTATGCAAAATATTCTTGAAATGTATTTTTATACTAGAATTTAATGCATGGTCGACTGCCGATACTTAATAAGGTTAATATGTATTTTATATATATCAAATAATAGTATATTATAATTTATATTCGTCTCTATATTAAAATGAAAAGAGAATAAAATATATTTTCCAAATCAACTATTGATTCTGTTCACCCTACTTCACTTTCCTGTTAGAAATGTCAAATTTAATTGGTTTAAGAATGAAGATTTATTGTTAGTAAATTTATATATACGTTTTTCAATTTTAAATTTGCTTTGCTATTTATATTATATTTTTATGTATGAATATATTAAATTTGCTAATGCATATTTAATTTATGTTAATCTTAGTATTTATATGAATTTTAATTTTAATATTTAAATACTTTTATTATTTCCAGATAAACTTGTGCATTTTTAAATACTATAAATGGTCAAATATTAATTTTTTCTTATTACTATACTTGTTATTCCTTCTGTCAATATATTTATTATTTGTGTTCAATAAATTGACAGATTGCAACATAGATTATTAAAACATTTTATATTTATATGAATTTATAAAACCTCTGAGAGCACGTAGAATATATTGAACTATCAGTCACAATGTTCAAATTGGAATCATATATAACGCCAGTCATTCTTAGTTATGTTGAAAAGTATGTGAAGAATTTTAAACCGGAACACTCTCAGGTATATTAATTATGTACATATAATTATGTCAGAAGGAATGCACATTTATTTTTCTTTTTGTGTGTATTATTTTATTTTGTATTGCAGGTTTCTTTATGGGGTGGTGATGCATCGTTTAGAAATCTTGATTTACGGCTGGAAGTTTTAGAAGAACAATTGAATCTTCCCTTTGTTTTTGTTAGTGGTCATATACATGAATTACTTATTCATGTTCCTTGGGTAAAAATAACTTCGGAACCAATTGTGATTACTATTAATACAATAGGTAAATATGAGAGAATGTGGCTCACAATTATAGCAGAATTATACGTATAAAAGAAAAAATTTTCATTTTCATTAGAGTGCATTTTAAAACTAAAAGATGATAATAAAGTTGAAACCAATTCTTCTTCTTTGCAAAGAAGGCAAGAGGAAGTGGTGACAATGTAAGTAATTCATAATTATTATTAAAATATATAATATTATAGATATCCTTGTTTAATGATATTTGATTTACAGGGAAAAAACACTACCTGGGTACATAAAAAGTATAGTAACAAAAGTTGTAAATAACATAACAATTAATTGTAATAACTTAATCCTAAAATATGTGGAAGAAGATATTGTTCTTAGTGTAAATGTCAGATTTTTAAGCATGCAAACTGTCGATAACAAATGGGAACCAGCACTTACTGGTATATATTTTGTGTAGAGTTTTTAAACATATGCAGTAATGTATTTTAAAATTATATTTAAATATATATTTTCAGATGTTCTTGCATATGAAGCTATGCTTAGGAAAGTTATTACTATTAAAGATCTAACATTATGTTTAGATAAAATGGACGCATCTGGAAAAATAGAAATATATCAGGTATTAATTATTTATTGACTATAAATTTTATACAATAGAATGTAAAAATATATAATTTTACCATTTAGGATCCTGTTTTATATCGATGTTTTATTGTGATACGTTTAATCATAAACTATCATAGTAATACTGCAAGAAAAGCTTCCATTACACGGTTAGATCTTTATTGTGAAAAAATGGAATTCAGTATAACAGAACAACAAGTACCAATGTTGCTTAGATTAGCTGCATTGATAATGGCTTTACAGACAAAACAATTTTCATCCAATAAAGAAAAGTCTTTAATCTCTGTAGAAGAAGGAGAAGACAGTACAGAAGGTATTTTTTTAATTTCAATCCATAAGAAGTACAACTGCATTTACATGTCTTGCTCTATGATCATTTTTTAGAGGATACAGATCATGTAAGTCGAGCTGCTGTAGATAATTCAGGTTGGGGTTGGGCTTGGAATATGTTATCATCTTTGTTACCTATTGATTGGGATGATGACTGGTCTGCAGAACAACAAATGGCTTATTCTGGACATACCATTCATTTAGTCATATATGTCCGATATGCGACTCTAACTTTTAAGGTATTTCTTTAAACATGAGAAATAATGTATAATATCACATTATGAGTACAGAATATTGTATTTATTTTTCTTTTTTTTTTTTCTTATACAGGCAGTCGAAACTGTTAAAGAACAATTGTTTTACAAATCTCGTAAGCTACGATATAAATCGTTTTTAACGGTAGAATTGAACCGTGTGGTAGTGGATACATTGCTTCAAGGAATTGCAATGACTAGTTTTCAAATTGGTATGGGATTCATACGCGTATATCCAAGAGGAACTTGTTGTTGTGGTCATCTTGAAGTAGTTGATGAGACACAAGTAATATTCGATAGTTTCTAAATATTTATTATTCAATTTAAAACAACTAATGTAATGAATAATTCTGTTTAGCCACCTTTATATTTAGTAGCTGGCAAGTTTTCTTATACTCCTTATATGGAAGATTCATTATTTGATTATAACTCAGTGGAAAATAAAGGGAAAAAACGAGAGTATAAACAAGGAATTTATTATTATTTACGTTCAGTTTCAGGTAACAATATTTCAAATTTATATTCATAATTTTTAATTTATACAGTTAAACATTCTTTTCAAAACATTTTTAGAAGAACAATTAATAGAACGATGTCCTGCATTTAGTATGGACTATGTCCATTGCATTCAATTGCCAGATGATATAACACCTGAAAAATTGTCAGAATTTGGATCTACTTTTGAGTATAGGTAACTAAACTAAACTAAGTTAATATTTTCATAAATAAATGATACATTAAAATAATAACTAAAATAAATTGAATTTCTATGTATCTCACCCAGCAATTTTCACGAAGAAAGAGTAATGAGATACATCATAGGTGATTTGACTATCAGATTATGTTCGGGTATCTTTCATCGTATCGAAACTATAAAGCAAGCTGCTGCAAATTACGATTACAATCCATATCTTATTACTAAACCAGGTATATTACATACAATTATAGTTATATTATATGAATAAAAATTATTTATTATATGATTAAAAAATTTTTAGATCCATTAGTAGATGAACTCCCACCAGTTACAGTGGAAGAATATAGAGCACTACGACATAATACACCTATGGTTGAGACAAAAGTAGTAATAGTGAAAGTGTCAATACAATTACAATTAGCAGATCATTCCATTACTGGACTACCACGACAAAGGAAGATTGTTGAAAATCGAGTAAGTAACAAGTGAACCACTATACATAAATATATAATAAATAATATTTACATTAATATTATTTATTCCTTTCATATTATTTTGCTAGACGACGCTTTTAACTCCTGCTCTTACAGACGATCCTTTCGTGAGCATTGAATGTGAAAAAGCAATAGCAAATATGCATCAACCTTTATACCCATTTAGGCTTGCAGCTTGTATATCCAAAGTACCTAATCGTATAACTGAGATGTTTACTAAGTGTCATAAAGTTATTACAATACAGGTAATGAAACATTTAATGCAGTGCATGAATAATTTTTTATTTCTTAGTTTGTAATAATAATAATACATTTAATTAGGTGATTGGAGCAAGAAGCCAACTTTACTTGACAAAAAATTGTCACACATCAATAATAATGCCTTACACTGTTGAATGCAAAATCAAAAAATTACTGTATCCACAATATTGGAAAGATGTTGATTTAATACATGAAATTTATACTGCACATATTGAGAGTATTACAATTACAGGAACAAAGGCAAAGTTAATGACTGCTGTATCTATCTTAACTTCAATTTTCGATAGTAATGATACAACTAATCCTCTTATATGTTCCTCTTTATTTAATGATGCTTGCCAAGAAACTAGTATGTTCTACACTATTTTACCAATTACTCAAAAATATTTAATTATTATATGATGCAATACTACATGATATAAATATTTTAGATCCTGTATATCTGGAATTGTTGTTAGAAAACATAAATTGCCAAAAGTTGTCGTCTTTAGTTACGATATCAAATGAACTAAACATAAGTTCGATAAAAATGTTTGCTCTAAATGAATCACAGCAAGCCTTTATATTTTCTGGACCAGAAAGTAATATTCACGGGTTCGTACCCTTTAAACAATTTGATTGTAAATAAACTCTATATTCATAGTAATTTTTTCTGTTTTAGTGATACAGAAAATAAATCACTACTATCGGCCGTAATACAATTTCCACAAAATGTTGAAAGGCAAACACATCCACCTTTGGTTTCTTTTCAAATGGCAGATATTAGGGCTTCACTTGATCCTTTACTTTTTAAGTGGCTGGAATATCGTGTTACATATTATAATTTGGGTACCTTATGTACAACGCGACCCGAAATGCAACATTTTGAAGGTGCGTCATCAGATACTGGTACAAAGAAAAAAACATTTCCCAATTTACACGAGAGTGTACATAGTTCATCAGATAAGGAAAAACGAAAATCAGTTATAACCACGGAAAAATCAAAGACTGTACAAAATGATGAAGTTCTAAAAAAACATGATTCTAAATCTGAAAATGAAAGACAGGTACATTACTTAATTATTTAAATGATAATGATAAAGTTTCAAGTAACGTTTATTAATATTAATATCTTTATATTTATTATTTTTGCAATTTTTTATTAGTTATAAAAATTAATCTGTAATAGAACTTACAGAATTTGGGAATATTGGTCAGATTAGCAGAACTGTATCCATGGTGGTGTGGTCTTGTGTTAAGTGGATGTATTGGACATATTGTTATTTACATACCATCAATTACAATGAGTGGTATTGGTGCATATGGTAAGCATACACACAAGTCTTATTTATTATATATTTATAATTTTTGTAATATTCATCTCCATTAATTAATTTAGGTATAGAAGAAGCTAAAGACAAAGCATTAAAAAATGATAATAGCTTACAAATATTGATAATAAAATTACCTTCTCTTCTTGTTCATTCATCTAACATGAATTTTGAATTACTTGCACCTTATCTCCAAAAACTACCAGTTAAATTACCAAACTCAATGTGGACGAATAGTAAGTATTTAAAAAAATATCAAGAAACATTATTTTTATAATCATTTATTTCAGAATTGCAAAGTTTCCCATGGACATTAAGCCTTGTTGATTTTCATTGTTATATGTTACAACAACAAACACAAAGAAACTTTATTAAAAAGATGTCATTAAATGCTACAGTTGCTCTTACAACTAAAATTGTGACATCTCAATCTGGAGAAAATACATTGAGTGCTTTAGGTGTTTGTGTCCACATTGATAATTCGCCTATTATTACTTCGATTTCTGAAGAACAGGTATTATAATAAAATTATTTTATGTTATACAATTAATATCCAAAAGACAAAATATTTATGTATTATTATATAAGTGTATAAATTACATTTTTATTTACAGGTAGTTTTTATGAATAAGATAATCTCAAATATTTTAAGCACATTGCGAGTTCCATCCAGTAATGATAAAAGTATCATACCTAGTACTCAAATAAATGCAGAAGCACAAGTAGTTCTTCCTCTCGTACCACAAACTCCATCTACACCCACACAATTACTATATCCTGAAGATACAACTACAAACTCAACTATTTCAACTTCAAAAGATGAAAGTACACAAGGTATTTAATAATAATTAAATTTATTTTTCACGCATTTTTATATATAATACTATACTTTTCATAGACACAGACGAACTAGTTTTAACAGCATGGATTCAGTGGACTATAACAAAAATAGCAATTAAATTGTATGTGATGGAAAAAGAAACTTTATCTTCATTAAAATTAGTTCTTGAATTAGAAGATATTATTACTTCTCTAGACTTGCAACCTGTTTATTTTAAATTAAAAAATAAAATTACCACAGCCACTATATTTCATTATACAAGGTAAATTTTTACATAAAAAAGTAATTTATACAATTTTACTCTAACTAACATTAAAAGCTGTTTTCTAACAGAGCACCGAGTTCCCTAACTTGGGACAGCGGTGAGTACGTAGGTGCAGTTCTTTGTGGAAGAGAGGATAGTTTAGAGAAAGGAGATGATTCTGGCTTTTTAAGTTTTACCCTTACTAGAGCAAAATCGGGAAATGTTCATACGCGATGGGGCACTTACAAACGGCACAAAAGTCAGAAGGTACATAACACTAAAAAATAATTAAATAATATTTTGATAATACTTTATTTTCTTTTAAAGTTCCAGAAAGATATAATAACAGAAACAAGCTTGTCTGCTAATAGTTATATTTCCGAAGTAGTTATAAAAATTCAAATGGTGGATATAATTTTACCGCTTACCATAGTTGGAATATATATGCAATTAATAAAGCCTTTTACATGTTTCTATCAATCTGTTGAAAAGGATGTAATTGAAAGTTCTGAACAAAATGTAACAACACGTTTAAACAGCATTACAAGCCTCGATAATGAAATGCTACCATTGATATATTTAGATTTTAAAGGGCTCAGACTGATGCTTCCAGTATCAAATATTACAAAATTGAAACCGCGGCATGATTTATTAATGATTCAGTTAGATGGAGTCCGTATCACTCCCCATGCAGAAAATCCAATTTGCAGAACACCATTAAGATTAGATATATATCAACTTGCAGCTCAAGCAAATATTTTAAGTATACCAGGGTCTGCTGTAGAAGATCGGCAATATCAAATTAATATAAAAAGTATATACGCACACACGACTACATGGAAAAATTATCAAATGACAATAAATAAAAAAATGTCTCAATCGTATTTATACACCATGAACGAAAATCCTGCATTAGAATGGAATAAACTTGGACACGGAAGTAGTTTAGAGCGGCAATTCTCCACGCTTCCTTTATTATCAAAATTCGATTTATGTTTAATCATTGCTCCACCTGTTCTGTTTAAACCAGATATTACAGTATGTGGAAGTGCAATTGAAGTAAATTGTATTACAGATATTGAAGTAACAATAAATTTAGATCAGATTCAATTGATTTCAATTCTGAATAATGAATTAAGAAATTTATTATTGGGAAGTTTTGAACAAAACGAAGATATAGCCACATATAACAATATAATACAGAAACCTCTTTCGACTATTGGAAGTATTAAACAAATTTCTTGGACAAAACAGTCTTCTGATGATATAGACATCGACATCACTAAAGATAGCGGTGTAGACTTCGAAACGTCCAGTGTAAATTCTACAATTATTGGCAAACCAATATCTTCAAATACTTCAGTACTTTTACCATTCGAATTTTTAGTAAACTGTGGAAAGATAACATTCGTACTTTATGATATTCATCAAGCAATCACGGAGTATGAAGTTGACATAAATGAAATTGAAGAAGATGAGGATGAAAGCCAGAAGCAGCCAATACTTTATGTAATGATTAATCAACCAAATATTTATTTTTCGCAACAGCATCCTTTACAAAAAATACAAATATCGTGTTTTGACATAACAATGGCACTTGGAGACAAAGATAATGAAGAGTTAATTTCAATACCAACAGAAAAGGATTTTAAAGTTTTTATGATAGAAACAAAAAATGGTGATTTACATCCAGATACAGGCATTCCCCCATCTTTTATAACAATGAAATATGAAAAAACTGTTGGAAAAAATCCTCAATTTTTTATAGATATGGGTAGACCTACAAAAATTTATTTTTCCTTATCAAGACTGAATCAAATGTACAGTATAAAGAATAAGATATTGTCATGTCTTATAAAACATGAAGTAATACCATCAGAACAATATGATAATGTGAAAACATCCTTAATAATGAAATTGAAAAAGATAAATTGTCCTGATGTGAATATTTGTACAAAACAAGTTGTACTATCTCTGAAAACCGATTCTGGTGCCGAAATAATAACCAGTGTAGCTTCGTTATCCGGAAATATTTCGTCTCTTCTAAGACCTGACAGAATATTTTCCAACATATCTATAGATTCTTTTATCGTATCAGCAATTCTTAATGGGAATATAAAAGTACTTTTAAATCCATGGTGCTGTAATATTACAGTGTGCTTGCTTTGGGAAACATGGTTAAACGTTGAGTCTGTTCCCCAAATACAAGTACAGGCAGACAGTGATAGTCTGTATTTAGATTTTGGACCAGAACAAATAAAGATCATAAAAAATGTTATGGAAGATTGTCAACTATTATTAAATGAATTTTCAAAATCACATGAATCACAGTATAGGAATAATGAAAAACAAATAGTCCTATCGACTGAGCAACATTATAAAGATGATCTTAAAGCAGGTGCATTCCAATTTGTTAATGGAAATGCAGATGAGCTTCCTTTCCCTTATCAAGTAAGTTTAGCAACATTTGTTTTTTAAATATAAATTTTAAAGAGTAATTTTATTTTTGTTTTGCTATTATTTAATTCATCAGGTAATATTTTTTACTTATCCCCAACAATCAATGGCTTGGAGATATCCACAACCAAGGACATTAACAAAAATACACGTATTCCCAGTTCCATTCGAAGTAAGTAGGACATTTTTCTCGGAAAAAAAATATTTTATCGAGACACAGAATTTATGATTTTACAAACATTTAAAATATTTTTTAGACACTGGATTCTAATAGTGGATATGTTGATAAAGTTTTTTGTGCTCTCGAATATTGGAGCGACTGCCATATGTCCTATCAACGATACGCCGATTTCTATCTATCAGAAACCGATTCCTATCGTTTAGAGTTACCTGAAAAAGCCCCAGCGAGAGCAGTAGCTTGTATATGGCGTGTAGTTCTGTTATCAAACAATAATCAACCTGTTTCTAAAACCATAATCTCAGCCCGAGTTCTTGCAGCTTGTTTACGCATTGATTCATACTTCAATTCTGCAATTATACCTAACATACAAGCTGCACTTAATATCGGCACCATTCATGTATCCATGTACAATCATATTAGTACAAATGCGTACAACAATTTACAACCACCCTTAAAATATTATACCTTGAAAGGTACAATACCCGAAACCCAGTGTTTTATAACTTTGGAGCATAAAGGAGCCATTCTTGTACTGAATAGATGGATAGACGGTTCGATGCTAATTGATATTGGCGGTATATTTGGAATACGTATACTAGATTATGGTCATTTAACCATGCAAGAAATATTAGATCCTCTAGAAGCAAGATTCCAATTATCTCTATCAGACAAAACTGATATGTCTTTCACATGCAGTCCATTTGTATTAAAATTGAGTCCAACGATTACTCATACGCTTATTGTTTCAATGCATTTATGGTATACATCCTTAGAAGAAGAAAACAAGACTATGATTTTATTCACACGCTATGTAGTAGCTAATGATAGCAATGTTCCTATCCTCTTTGGTCAAAGTGGTACAGGAGATAACGTATTATTAGAGAGCAGACAATGTACCTTTTATTCGTGGCGAAATATCGGCAACAAAATGCTACGAATAGCAATAGAAGAAAATATTTGGTTATGGAGTAAACCATTTTCTGTCGGTATAGATGGAACTCAAGCTGTTGAGTTTTGTAATTCTATCACAAAAGCATCAGCATTTGTAAGTGTTACGTCTCTTTCAGCTACTCAAAAGCTTGTAACATTTTCTGGTCAACTTATAATATCAAATCAATTAATCGATAACTTTGAAATGAAATTAGTTAAGTATGAAGCTGATGTTGAATCAAAGATATCTGTATTGAAAGATGTATATCCCGTTTCTGGCAAAACTCGACCACCATCTGTTATACTTGATGGAAATAAAAAAATGGCAATACGTTTACGATTCACTAATGTTCCAAATTTATCTTGGACAGGAGACATTCCTCTTCAACCTAATGCTAAGTGGGGGCAACCATGGCTTGTTAAAGTTCCATTACAAGAACGTGGGCAATTTTTAAGTATTTGGGTACGAATAATAACACAATCAATTCAGGACAAAATGAAAGTACTAGCTGTACTTAGTCCACTGTACATGATTCGTTCGCATTTACCAGTACCAGCTAGAGTACAAATGGACACACCTTCATTGAAAATATCTTTAAGCACAATGGTGAATGGTCGAGGTGAAAAACAGCAACTATATTGTCCTGGAACATTTGAACATTTTCACCAGTTAACATTTCAATTAGAAACTGGAGTTTCTACATCCAACCCGTATGTCCCATTATCATATAGTTCTGTAGATCAAAGAAAATTCTTTAGAAGGCCCGAAACCGAAGATATCGATGCTATTTTGCAAGACCTTGAAAAACAGAAGGATAAAAAAGAATGGCCCTTTCAGGAAGAAGAGCTTGAGGAATGGATATCAGCGGAACAACCGCAGACACATGTACAAGTGAAATATCAAGATGCTGGATTAGTCTCAAGTACTTTATTGTTAGAATTACAGCCTTGGTGTTTCATGTTGAATTCCATGGGATGTCATCTGTCTCTTGTATCAGAAGATATTGAACTTTGTCAGATTCCTCACTATGGGATTGTAACACCACCAAAATTGGAAGGTACATTCCACTTATGTGTCGGTATCGGTGATACATTTTACACGTCCCAAGCATTACAACTAGCTCGACTTGACTGGAGTCAAAGTTTCTATATGCTACGAATCGGTGGACTTATCCCTGTTGAAGGAAATATTAAATCATGCATAGATTGTGGGTCAAGTGTTTCCATCATGAGTATTAACTCCAGTATGCACGAGGATATGCGTCTTGTACGCATAATGAGTAGTCATGTTATTAGTAATTTAACATCTCAAGAACTATGCATTGCAACATTAGCAGTACATGAAGATGCAACCAAACTTGAATTGCCCAATGATCTCACTCTTTATAGTCTTAATATTTCACCATCTGAGGATCAGAAACAGGGTATCCCAATTACACAATGGTACACATTATACATGGAGGATATTGTAGAGCCTCTTGTACTTTATATATCTTTAAGCTTAGGCCACAAGTGGTCTTGTCCAATTCGAGTCGACCAAGGTATGAGTCATAAATGTGTTGCAATTCCAAATGGCTCTACCACCATGCCAGTAGTCATTACAATTCAAGAAGATAAAAGCACAACATATATAATGATTCACATTGATTATCATCCTCAATTGTTGATTGAAAATACCTGTGCTTTTAAAATTCTAGTGGGTCAAGCTAATGAAACAGCAGATGGAATATTACCAGATGCATCACACTTTACATGGATTTGTGAAATAGAAAGTAACGCAACGAGCCATTATTCCATTCCATCTATCAGTAATAGACTACCTGACGCACCGGTTACTAATGCATCGAATATATTACTGTTCTCTACTGTAACAAACATTCATTGCGATCAAATAACCAAAAGTAAAGAATTGCGATGGTCAAGAGGTATAAATTTATCCGCCATATCAAATGTGCCAATGGATCAGTATGTACGACTACCATCTTATGGTGATGTGAAATTAATCATGCAAAATCGTTGTTATACTACCTATATTAATATCGTACCAGTATCACAAGTAGAAGTGTCTGCAAAGGATATCAGAAGTCGACTTCTACGAAAAGAAAGCGACGCGAAAGATATAGAAACAATGCATGATAAATTTTCTACTAATCTAGATGATGATAAAGCAATCATAACTGTACAAAGTTCTGAAAGCTCGACTTCGGTAACATCTTTTTTCTCAGCTCAAGACGACACTGTATCTACAGAAGTTAAAACTTCCTCAGAGATAAATTTACACCATTTGATAACAGATATAGAAAAAGTAAAAGTTAATATGGGCAATGATGAAGAGAATAATTCTAGAGAAGGTTCTATGACCATTTGCCTTCGTGGGATTACCTTCATGATCATGCACGATATGAATGAAAATGCTCAAAAAATAGAAGTGGCTAGTTTATCTATGACCGATGTTGTAGTTGTTGTTACTGCAAAATCTAGTATTATAAATATACGAAATTTTATAGGCGATCTACAATTTGATAACCAACTATTCGATCAAGGAGGTTTTGATTTTCCAGTAGTATTAATTAGCCAAAGTCCTCTTGTTACAAAAGAAACAGCATTCTACACGAGCAGTTGTTTAATGAATAAGATAGAACAAATAAGAGAAAATTCGTTAATTGCAATTGATTATATATTAGAAGATCAAGGACAATTGATAGGTATTAATGTCTTTAAGCATGTAATAAGTTTCTTTCTCTTTTTTCTTCTTGTACAAACATTAATTTCGTCTTAATATTTTTAGCATTAAAAGATTTTTATTTAAAAATTGCTCCAATTAGTGCTTATATTGAAGATACATATATAACTCAATTACGTAATTATGCAACATCAATGGCACCACCTCAATTTTTGATACATGATGATGTAAAAAAAACAAGGACGTTAATTTCAACTATTGGGGTATTCATTCCTGATCACATAATGGTTGACGCGAAAATATTAAGTGCCCCATTAAGGCTACAAAATTTAAAAATAGAACCTGTGTCTATCTTATTAAGTGTTCATACTTCTGTACATTTATATGTAGCTTTAGATCATTCTCCTTTATATTTTGGTACTTTTGAAAAGAAGAATATTTTAACTACACCATATAGACTTGGTAATGCACTCACGATGCATTATTTATCTGGTGCTATATTTGGAGCAGGTATAAAGATCATTCCATTTTAATTTTTTTCATATCGATGAGATATAAATTTCCCGTGTTTTAGGATGGGTAGTAGGATCTTTAGAAATATTAGGTTCACCTGGAAGTTTAGCACAAGCTCTTGGTTCAGGACTTCGAGATTTTATTTCACTTCCATTTCAAGGCTTATTGCAAGGACCATGGGGCTTCATTGTTGGTATAACACATGGTTCTGCCAGCTTAATGAGACACGTTACAGCAGGTATGAACAGATATAAGTATTCACATCATATAATTGGAGCAATCCGCACTTATGTTTTAATTCATTTTTTATAATCCTATATTTAATTAAATTGATACAGGTACATTAAACTCTGTAACAAAACTAGCATCTAGCGTAGCACGAAATTTAGATCGCCTGACACTTGATGAAGAACATCTTCAACGCCAAGAAGAATCTCGAAGAATGCGTCCTCAAGGAATGGCACAAGGATTATACCAAGGCTTGACAGGGCTTGGAATGAGCCTTCTTGGTATATAAATATATCTTTTCTATTTATTACTCCATATTAATAAATCTTTATACTATGTTTATAGCTGCAGTTGCGGGTTTGGCTCATCATCCCTTACAACAAGTTTGGTCAGGAGAAATAACAACTAAAAGTCTTGTAACTGGTGTTGGACTTGGACTTGTCGGAGCAGTTACTAAACCTTTAAGCGGAGCTGCAGAATTAGTTGCATTAACAGGACAGGGATTACTTCAAGGAGCTGGCTGGAATTCTTTACCCTCAGTAAGAAGATACTTTTATAATACTTATTTTAAATGTTGTTAATAAATTAATTAATAATAAGTATATCTTTACAGCCTCGACAACGACCAATTGTTCAATACACGTCTGGAAATAATAATGCAACTATTAGATATGCTTGGTGGTTATTACCCTTACTTGAAAATAATCATGGAAATATTTTGCATGTTACTAATGCAGATTACATGATCCAGCAAGGCAATAGTCGTGCTATAACGTTAGTTTTAACACGACATGCATTGTTACTTGTTAATATGGCCGAAGATAACGTAGAGCGAATATTTTTATTAAAAGACCTAACAAGTGCCGATCATCATTTGGAATCAACAATATGTTTATACTGCTCTCCTGAGACGACACAAACTAATAGATCTGTATCTCCAGCGCCATATGAGGTATGATATGCATTTTATGATTGTTCTGTTATGTAGTGGAAAGACAATGTAATATTTATACATAATAAAATTTCTCTGTTAACAGATGGATCGAGAAATGCGAGCGCGAGTAGCAGAATATGTACGAACTAGTAGCACTGGCTTAGCTAGTGTTTCTACAAATAGTGATGTACAGTCCGATATTTTTGAGAATACTACTCCCAACTTCGATCGTACACTCACATTTTATGTTTCTCCAGATTCGCGTAATTATTTATTATCTTTATTCAACATTGCCAAGCGACAAAGCCAAGGTAGCGGATTTACAGTGTTATAATGAGGTAGATCATATTAAATTATTTTCTTTTATTCAAAAGTAAAAACGAAGCGTAATAAAGTGGAAAAGTAGTATTATATCTACAGTTTAAAAATTGTTTGAGAAGTATAACATACAAAACGTGTTCGAATTACGCGCGATCTGTATATACATATCTATGGCAATATTTTTCATTTTATTCCGAGTAATGAATTTAAATTTATGAATTTTTTCCCATAAGAATATCCTCTATTATATGTTGCACAGAGTAGAAATATGCACAATTTAAAAAGATGTTCTTACATAAAAAGCGCTTTTTCAATTTTTATATGAAAATTTATATAATAAACAATTGTCTACAAACTTTGTTTATTAACTGACATATATAATGTACATATCATAGAAAATTTAAGTATGATTGATACAGTTCAATCAATATGTATATTCTGTGCAGGTTTTCACATATTAAGTGTGAATGACATAAATAAGACTTGTAACATAACATATTTGGTAAAGGATAAATCCTTTGTGATTTAATATTTATTGTATCTTTATTATCATATATTTTTCATTATTATTTGCTTAATGTTTGATATGTATGAACTGAAATTCACAAAATGCAATAAAGAGTCAAAAATTTTATATATTTATTAAAAATTATCAATACATTTTATTTACAACGTTTCATGTAAAACTATCCCAACATAAATAACACAAGAAAATAAGTTAATTTATTCATAAATTCGTTTTATCTCGTTATTCTTGTAAGGTGTTTCACAAGATGTACATTGATTATTCTTAATAGATGTTAAGACTTTCCTACATAAAATATGTTTGCATGGAAGCTCATAAAAAATGCCATTAGGACAACAGGAACAAGTTGTTAATTTTGGACTTGGCTCATTTCTCTTTGGAATGTTATTAAAACGCTTTAAATTAGGTACATCTATATTAATATTAAAATCTTTTTCATTGTTAACTGTTAAATCCATTGAATCAGTAGAATTACTCTTCTTTTTATCTTCAGAATTTTTAGATACAGATACGCAAGAATTGGCAGTCAATTTTTTCTTTGCCGACTTAGGTACAGCAGGA